ATTTTAGAACGAACATGCTAATAACATGTAGAAAATTAACGAGGGAGCCGTCAGAATTGTTAGTGGTGCGTCAAAATTCATATAGATAAACTGCATAAAGAAACTGGTAAGCAAAAACAGAAACTACAAATTAATACATTTTTTAATTGCTTCATCATCGTACTCCTAATTAGTTGTCCAAACTAGTACCTCAGAGTACATTTGATCTTCACAATTACAATATTAGACAGGGTAATGACTTCGGAGGCATCAGATATACGAGAGTTCTATCGTTAGTCTTTTCTACCTTCAGCTGTAACAATCAGGAATAATATTCCTAAAGAAATTAGAAACAATCTTTCCCTATATACATTCAAATTGTCAACCCCCCTCCTATCCCCTCAACCCAACCCAACCCCCAACCCACCCCCATCCTCCACTTTCCCCTCGCAAATTATTATGTAGGTCAAATATATCACGTAACAATTCGTCTTTAATGCGAATCCCTCCAAATGTCACCTTTTCAAGAGAAACCTTGTTCATAGCTCTTCAAGTTCTCTCTTCTTGTTACACTTTGCAAAGCGTATTGACTTACAACGAAGGTACATAACTTCCTTGATGTATTAACTTAGTGTAGATTTGTTGTTGTTAAATGACACATCTTTCATTCATTTATGATCAAAATGTTGAAATATTTATAGCTATTCAAATGTTAATTAAATCCAGTGGAAAATTCCTGAGTAATTAGTGTCAAAATACAGGACAGCATCAAGGCTCAAGCAGAATAAGACCATATGTTCCGGAAGTGTAAGCGTCTTGTGATTCATTGACGACACCCGTAAAATCGATAAGACTATGATTATAAAACTACCCGTCCAAACGGGCTGACTCAATCACAAATATTAATTTTCCCTCTATTTCTCTATGTTCCTTTATTCTCGATTCCTATTTTACTCTCCAAATATATATACACCATTTTGATTTTTCAATGTTCATTTATTTTATTCCAAAAGTCGCCAATTTAAAGGTTACACATGCATATAGGTCAGATTATCATTTTTTATGAGAAGGATTAAGTACATAAATGTTTAAGCATGATTTAAATTGTACAGTTCCTATTTACCTGAATGAAATACAGTTTACACTAATCCTCCACAATAGAGTGTAAGAAACAACCTGCCATACGAATTAGTAACAAAAATGTTGCTGCTGTCTACAAACAAATGGATTTGATCTTTTTTATCATCTTTTCATGTTGGTAATATTAATAGAATAGAATTTCTTATAACACAACCTGTAGAAGATTAGTGTGTGACGTTTCGATGACTACAAACTGTTACTTCATCAGACAAATGACCAGTGTGGAGCGTACTAGCACTGATGTACGAGGTGGTATGGAATCGACCAACTTTTTCGGTTGTATTATGATCCTATACGCACTAAGATCGAAAATAGTGAAACGAGCCGGTAAACAGTTTAGAGACAAAAACACGCAATATGGTAAAAATGTACTGTAGTCAATTCGGCTACGCTCTGTTTAGACTTGGTCATAGGTGTGCGGGAGTCTGTGGTCTCCCTCGTCCCTGTTTAGTACTGGCCCGCTGGGACGTATCCAGATGACTTCCTAAACCAATTGCCTGATAAGGTTGTTTTCCTTTTCGACTATTTTGTAATTTTCCCAGTCAATGATATGAATTTGCCGTATGGAATGACCTGTAAGTGCAGATTTAGTGATTAGGGACTGAGAATGGTTTCCATCTGGTCTGGTGATTCTTTGCCTTCTTGGGATTCCGCGTCTCTCTGACGTTCATCGAGTCAGACCCCGAATCTCCTACCTGTTTCTCCGAAATGTGATGAATCGTAGTTCTTGAATCTTTAAAAAAACTTTCAAAAAAGGTATGTTCAGGATACAGAATTTTTTCTGGTCGCTGATTGCTTTTTTTTTTTTTTTTTTGATTCTTATAAAAAGATTTCAAAATTTTCTGCCAATTTCATTAACCATTTACTGGAATAAAATGAGTGATTACTAGTAATTAAGCTGATCCCCCAACCTCGACCCCCAAATATTCTTAAAGACAATACAAGATCAGATGCCTTATAGAACTACATTGAAGTATATGCAGCTGTCTCTCATAATTTAATTCCGCAAAACCACATTGAATTTTTGGCTAAAAAGTTTTATTTGCCAATTTGTGTTCTGATTTGCTTTATTTTGAATTTGCCAGTATTGATTGTGTTCGGATTTGCTTTATTTTAATTTTTTCCAGTATTGATTGTGCTCGGATTTGCTTTATTTTGAATTTGCCAGTATTGATTGTGTTTGGATTTGCTTTATTTTCAATTTGCCAGTATTGATTGTGTTTGGATTTGCTTTATTTTAAATTTGCCAGTATTGATTGTGTTTGGATTTGCTTTATTTTAAATTTGCCAGTATTGATTGTGTTTGGATTTGCTTTATTTTAAATTTGCCAGTATTGATTGTGCTCGGATTTGCTTTATTTTGAATTTGCCAGTATTGATTGTGCTCGGATTTGCTTTATTTTGAATTTGCCAGTATTAATTGTGTTCGGATTTGCTTTATTTTGAATTTGCCAGTATTAATTGTGTTCGGATTTGCTTTATTTTAAATTTGCCAGTATTGATTGTGTTTGGATTTGCTTTATTTTAAATTTGCCAGTATTGATTGTGTTCGGATTTGCTTTATTTTAATTTTTTCCAGTATTGATTGTGCTCGGATTTGCTTTATTTTAAATTTGCCAGCATTGATTGTGCTCGGATTTGCTTTATTTTGAATTTGCCAGTATTGATTGTGTTTGGATTTGCTTTATTTTAAATTTGCCAGTATTAATTGTGTTCGGATTTGCTTTATTTTGAATTTGCCAGTATTGATTGTGTTCGGATTTGCTTTATTTTAATTTTTTCCAGTATTGATTGTGCTCGGATTTGCTTTATTTTGAATTTGCCAGTATTGATTGTGTTTGGACTTGCTTTATTTTAAATTTGCCAGTATTGATTGTGTTCGGATTTGCTTTATTTTAATTTTTTCCAGTATTAATTGTGTTCGGATTTGCTTTATTTTAAATTTGCCAGTATTGATTGTGCTCGGATTTGCTTTATTTTGAATTTGCCAGTATTGATTGTGTTCGGATTTGCTTTATTTTAATTTTTTCCAGTATTGATTGTGCTCGGATTTGCTTTATTTTGAATTTGCCAGTATTGATTGTGTTTGGATTTGCTTTATTTTAAATTTGCCAGTATTGATTGTGTTCGGATTTGCTTTATTTTAAATTTGCCAGTATTGATTGTGCTCGGATTTGCTTTATTTTGAATTTGCCAGTATTAATTGTGTTCGGATTTGCTTTATTTTGAATTTGCCAGTATTAATTGTGTTCGGATTTGCTTTATTTTAAATTTGCCAGTATTGATTGTGTTTGGATTTGCTTTATTTTAAATTTGCCAGTATTGATTGTGTTCGGATTTGCTTTATTTTAATTTTTTCCAGTATTGATTGTGCTCGGATTTGCTTTATTTTAAATTTGCCAGTATTGATTGTGCTCGGATTTGCTTTATTTTGAATTTGCCAGTATTGATTGTGTTTGGATTTGCTTTATTTTAAATTTGCCAGTATTGATTGTGTTCGGATTTGCTTTATTTTGAATTTGCCAGTATTGATTGTGTTCGGATTTGCTTTATTTTAATTTTTTCCAGTATTGATTGTGCTCGGATTTGCTTTATTTTGAATTTGCCAGTATTGATTGTGTTTGGATTTGCTTTATTTTAAATTTGCCAGTATTGATTGTGTTCGGATTTGCTTTATTTTAAATTTGCCAGTATTGATTGTGTTCGGATTTGCTTTATTTTAATTTTTTCCAGTATTAATTGTGTTCGGATTTGCTTTATTTTAAATTTGCCAGTATTGATTGTGCTCGGATTTGCTTTATTTTGAATTTGCCAGTATTGATTGTGTTCGGATTTGCTTTATTTTAATTTTTTCCAGTATTGATTGTGCTCGGATTTGCTTTATTTTGAATTTGCCAGTATTGATTGTGTTTGGATTTGCTTTATTTTAAATTTGCCAGTATTGATTGTGTTCGGATTTGCTTTATTTTAAATTTGCCAGTATTGATTGTGCTCGGATTTGCTTTATTTTGAATTTGCCAGTATTAATTGTGTTCGGATTTGCTTTATTTTGAATTTGCCAGTATTAATTGTGTTCGGATTTGCTTTATTTTAAATTTGCCAGTATTGATTGTGTTTGGATTTGCTTTATTTTAAATTTGCCAGTATTGATTGTGTTCGGATTTGCTTTATTTTAATTTTTTCCAGTATTGATTGTGCTCGGATTTGCTTTATTTTAAATTTGCCAGTATTGATTGTGCTCGGATTTGCTTTATTTTGAATTTGCCAGTATTGATTGTGTTTGGATTTGCTTTATTTTAAATTTGCCAGTATTGATTGTGTTCGGATTTGCTTTATTTTGAATTTGCCAGTATTGATTGTGTTCGGATTTGCTTTATTTTAATTTTTTCCAGTATTGATTGTGCTCGGATTTGCTTTATTTTGAATTTGCCAGTATTGATTGTGTTTGGATTTGCTTTATTTTAAATTTGCCAGTATTGATTGTGTTCGGATTTGCTTTATTTTAAATTTGCCAGTATTGATTGTGCTCGGATTTGCTTTATTTTGAATTTGCCAGTATTAATTGTGTTCGGATTTGCTTTATTTTAAATTTGCCAGTATTGATTGTATACGGATTTGCTTTATCTAAAGCCTAACTATAAAATGTAGGGGTTCAGCAATGTCTTGTCAGTTTTCCCTGCCCTACTTTGTATAACACATTTTGATTGTTCAGCTGTACTTATCATTATCACTCGTTTAAGTATTGTTCACTTATGCAGTCAATTGTACATACTGTCGGATTTCTGGTAAATTTGTTTGTTTTATCATCATTTTCTTGAACATGTGGTGATATTTTTACCGAGAAAATCCATTTAATGTAAGTAAATAAATATTGACACAAATTTCCTCAAACTATTTTTTTTATTTCTGAAAAAGAAAACAGCACACATATAAATTAAGAAACACATTACATATAAAATGAGAGAGGACTGTGATTAAGTACCCATATTTAAACACCAGGAAGTATACATAGCACATGTACAGTGTAAATTCCTGATGAACTGTACAACAATTTAATTTCATGTAAATTCCAGACAGCACAACGTGTCGGTACAAACTACAGACAGACCCTATTCCCAGGTATAGTCCACATACAGGTAAAATCCCGTAACAGGTAAACTCATGGTTAGTCTTCAATCAACAATATGACCACTAATAGTTATCATTGCTACTATATCCTATATCTGATCATAAGATTGAGTATTTCATTTTTAAAAATTCTAAAATGTTCACATGGTAAGACAAACATTGTAAAATAGAATAAAGATCCAGTCATAGGTCAGCCATAAAGTGTGTCCATTTTTTTTCATGTCACCAGAACACCGACATTCCTGGGTGAGATGACATGGAACACAGGAGGAGTCACGGAGACAGAAAACCTGTCCCTCAATCAATGTATCCTTTTAACTTTCTCGTCTTGTTGTTTGACCAAATATATTACAGTTGGATGGGCATCTTAACACAGAACCTCAAGGAGTAGTTCTCCCATAGAAAAACCACATTAAAAAAAGTTCAACCATTTAGTGTTGAACGGTCTATATGTAAAGTCTTCAGCATTTGATGATTTTTATTGCACCATATCTGCTTGACAATACATTTTTTCTCATCGGTTTTGTAACATAACACCACAAATGTTAACTTGTCAAATTTCAGAATTATATCATTATTTCTTTGTTATGTTTGCTAAAGTTTTATATATAACAAAACACTATGATTTATCCAAGTAAAACATACTGTATCATCATGCTTTTTTTTTTTAATATCTGATTGACTGCAAGTATGCATCTACACACATTGTACCTTATACAACAATAATGAAATTGTTATCAAAATCTGAAAGGTGTTATTTATTTAAAGGCACAGATTTTGCTGAATAACTTGGAATATTCAAACCGAACATGAAACATTATCATTATCAACATACCTATGATATATATTAATGAAGTTTTGTTACAAGAGATTAAAAACTGTATCTATTCATTATATATGGATATTTAGTATCAATCATTAATATCTATCTAAGCACACGATTAAAATGTGTTTAAAACAGTAGAATATTGCTAATAAAATTTGTATCACAATTTATGGTTTATTTCACTAAGGCCTCAGAAGCATACAGAAGATGCTATACCTGTAAATATTGAAATGTTAAAGGGGAGACAATCCAATTGTAACATCACACAAGATACATAATTCTAAATCTTAAGATTTTTCTCAAAATTAGCTCTGGACTGCAATTATTTCACAGAATAGATTGTAAAATTATCCAAACTTGGACATTTTAATATTTACAGGATGAAAGTAGATGAAAGACTTCTTAAGTTATATATAAATGTAAATGACCTATAAATATTTCAAAAGCAGTTGACATATATAAATAATAGTATATTATTATTACATTAGTAGGTTTTATAATTTTTGAATCAATACCATAATAAATATGTAAATTAAATACTCCATGGCATATTGTTTTCCATGTTTAGTTATCACTACTTTTTATACAACATTACTCAATTAAAAACGAAAATGTCCATGTTTCTATTATAGTTAAATTTGAATATTTAAATAACACATCATCTATAATTATAAAATTATGGAAGATACAATATGGCTGAAGTTTTGTACCTATACAAAGGTTATCGAGAACAACATCATGAATTTCCTCAATTCGATAATTTACAGCAAATCCACATTCAACAGAATACAGTAAAACTCAACATATTAACTTAAAGCTCATCAAAAAAGCAAATAAATAATTGTTACACTTCCGTTGTAGAAAAAAACGGAATTCCCCGCGAAAAAATTGGAACACCAAGTTTCTGTTTTCAGCACCCTCAGATTGGCGATGACATGATAAACAGCTTCTCATTGTTATTTCTACTAACTTAAGCTTGACATCACACCAATATTGCTCAATCACTAAGAAAGATATCTTAAAATTGAGCGATGATATTTCCATCAGTAGGATATACACAGGTATGACGTAAATGTTTTACTGCTAAGCCAATGCTGAATCACATCTCCATTAAAAACACAGGTTATATGTTCAAGCATCACTAGTTGCGTCACCAGAATTTGATTCAGGAGTTTGTAGAGCTGCATCCATGGCAGAAGCAACAATATCATCAGCTAATTGTTTAATTCCTTCTGTTGTCTTTTCTTCCTGCGAGTCTTCTGGTACTGATAATGTTACTTCAGTTTCCACAGACTCCTCAGATTCAGGAATAACATCATTTTCTATAGGTTCATCCAAATCATCAGTTGTTACCTCATTGGTGATTGGTTGCTCCACAGAGTCACTTGTTTCTTTTATCTGTTGTTCCTCTGCAGTTTCCTTATAAAAAAAGAGAGACAAATAAGCATAATTTCCTTATAAATGTGCCAATAAGCCAATGCTAGGAATAAGCTTTAGATCATCATGTATACTGTATTTATTCAGTAAAATTACAGATACAAAAAGGCGACAGAGCCACAATTGGTCAGGTTGCAGGCTGAGTGCAATGTTATATGGTATTTGTAAGACAGTTTGACATTTGTTGGGTATGTAGAATATTTGTTATAAGAGAGAAAGTTTGGTTATATTTAACGAATTGGTGCAGAAGAAGGGCATTTGAACAAAAAAATTGCAGCCATTTTTGATTCAGAGATGTTTCGAAAAATAGACAATGGACATCTAGGGCCCCAAGGTGATTTATATGTGGAATTTCGGAAAGATTCTTGTAGTAATTTCTGTGAAACTGTGATAAGTTTCAGAAATTGACTAAGTTCCAAAGCCCAGAAAATCTAGAAAAATGTCCAGAATGAATCCATAATACGAAGTGCATCATCTACAACATGTATATAAACATCCTGCTAAGTTTCAAGCACTATGCACTATGTGCAACCCGGCCAAAAAAACGATAAAAATGATTGATATTGAACACTTCTTTCATAAAACCACTACTGACATTGACCAGAAGTCTTTGTTGTCACCATGCAGACTAATATACCTATCATTTACAATTATCAAGATGAAGACCACTTTTTGTAATTTTCCAGGGCCATTTATACTGGAACAGAAGTGACATAATGTAGTGTATAACGCTCTGCTGATTACACTCATATTGTGTAATAGAGTAAAAGAAATAGAACCCATTCTTTGACATCTTTAATATGTATCTAAAAAAAGTGAAGTTTGAAGTAAAAGATTGTATGTTCACATAATGGAGACAAAGGTTGATGTTCTTGTAAAAAAAATAACCAGAATTCAAATCTAAACAAGGGCTGTAATCAGAGACGAGTTATATTTTTGGACAATATTTATGTATGAAAAATAACAAAGGGCAATAACTCCGAAATTATGGAAAAGAAAGTGATGGTATTTGTGCATTGCACTTCTCCTTGTTGAGATCTACCTACCTATGAAGTCTAATGCTGATACCTCTTATCGTTTTTGTGTTATGCTGCAGACAAAATTATGATGGATGGACAGATGGACAAAAAATGATAACTGTATGCTCTCCCTTCGGGGAACTTAATTTAAACTATGGCAAAATATGAACAAAAGGAATATTTAGATGAAGACTTCTGAAAATGTACAAGAGTTGTACCAGTAGAACAAGTTTGGTAAGAAAACATTGGACTGGAGACTCATTAAGACCTCCTGTCCCTAGTATAACTATATAAAGAGGTCCATTCATTCTGTGTAAAACTTACATCTAAGACAACATGGCTGGTTGTTTCCTCTTCTTCTTCATCTTCATCAAATTCTGGATCCTCTGCTGTGTCTGATGGTGTTTCCTCATGAATCATGGGATACATATCCAAGACCCGGTTTGCAAGGTATCGTCGGGAGAACGTGCGTAATTTGGAGGTCGAGAAGACAACTTCCTTACGACACTTTGTCATGACATCGGTCACTTGAAGCCATTTATCCTCCAAACATCCGGTAGCAGTCAGACGATTTCTACAGGAAAGATTATCAAAATTCTGAGAAGTCACACAACAAATCTGACGAAGATTTCTATATTTAAATCAATTCAGCGGGGGGACTTACTGATCTTGCTAGTCATTTACACATAACAAAAGGAGAATGCTTTAAACAATGTTAAGTTTAGGAATTTTTTTCATCTGAAAGCAATCAATTTTAAGATATTTGCTGAATATGAATTTTGCATGACATTCTAAACACAATGTCAAAAATTTAAATCTTATTTAGATTACTTTTTGTTGTTTTCTTTCTTAATTTCATTTTCTATCATGTACACATTGAGAAAAACCATACATAGAACCATTCTTAATAAAAAAGAAGACAGTTATCAAATAGATACACTACAAGATCAATAGCCCCATTGTGGACAGACGTATCCACCATTCTATCAGAGAGAGATTCTATTGGGTTGAGTCATAAAATTCCACTTTCATGTCATCATTTTGAAATATTTGGTAAATAACAATGTATGCCTGACAAGGTCAGCAGGGTAAGAGAAACCTAATTACTTGCCCCTTTGATGGTAAAATAAGGGGATCTCAATCATGGGTCTTAATCCTCGGAGAATGACGCTGCAAAGACCTGACAACTGAACAATCTTCCGTCTCAAGCTGAGATCCTCCTATCTCACTCCTATGAGGGTAAAACATGATCTTCTATATATCTCCCAATTTTTTTTCAGTATTGATTTCTTCACATAATTTAATAAACATACCTTGGTGTTCGCTTGAGGATTTGGAACACAAACTTGAGAGCCTCCCTTGTAGCATTCTCGTACAACCCGTGGGCATCGTAGCGATTATACACAATATTGGAGTATACATCCTTCTTTGTGGGTGCCACAAATGGGGATTCACCACTCAGTCTGAAAATAAAAGCGTAAATCTACTTATATCTTGTAATATTTTTGGGAATGAAAATCATGGAGATTTATATGAAAATGTCTTCCTCAGGCATGTACCACCAATAATTAACTTAGTTGTAAGGATATGCTTAAGTATCTGGCATTTGGCCCTCATCTATTTGTTTTGCCCACTAATATTCCTTCAGTTATGCAATAAGTCAACAAATCTGTTGTCCTGTAATTCGTCCACTTTGTCATTTTAAGGGCAAGTTCACATAAGATAACTTCGAAGTTAACGATTACAATCTACCAGGAAGTAAACATTATTGTGAGTATCTTGTACTTTGTGTCAAGTTACAATTATTTAACAGGACTAAAGTATAAATTGCCTCCATTTTTTTCCGTCAATATATCTATATGATTTGTAAGACTTATTCATCTTGTAATAGTTACTGATGTTGTCTCAAAAGATCAAATCATTTGCTAGTTACAGAATGAGAGTAGGCTGGGGTAGTGCCTTACTGATGATCTTGTTTGTATAAATACCATTAATAGTTAATACATTTTAGTGTTTTACTCAGTAACAATCATAAATGCTAGGGGAGGTAATCCAAAGTTTGAAAATACACAAGAAAGACTGTCTATTAGTTAACACAGAGTGAGAGTAGGCTGGGGTAGAGTCTTACTGATGATCTTGTTTGTATAAATACCATTAATACTTAATACATTTTAGTGTTTTACTCAATAACAATCATAAATGCTAGGGGAGGTAATCCAAAGTTTACTTACAGAAGAAAGGCCAAAGTTCCAACTGTCCAGATATCTGCTGGGAATGAGGTTAGTTCCTTGGCAAGAACTTCTGGGGCTGTGAATATATAGTGTCAAAATAGTATTTCTAAACTGTTGCAACAAATAGACTGTCTGGTCCTCAAAGTGACATGTTGTATACTGTAAAACCAGATGTTTTGGGGAGCCTCAATTTTGGTGTTTTTTCAAAAAAGTGATATTTCATGGACACCTGATTTTGTGGATGAATATAGCTCAATATATGATTTTTTATTCAAAAAGAGTACTCATTAAGTGAACAAAAATAAAACTACCATGAAATTTAATGATTTCACAGTATATTGTAGTGAGCTTTAAGGTCTTAAGATCACACTGATAATAATAATCAGACGCCAATAAATTTCTAACATTTTCAAATCATTAAACTTTGTTTTCAAATTGAAATAAACAAAAACTGAAATCTTTATAACATATTGTACTTTCAATTTCTTCCAAATGATTTTACCAGCTTAAATACTTAGGTATATGAATTTCGGAAGTTGATAAGTATATCAGTCATCAGTATCAGCACCTACCAATGAATTCTGGGAAGCCTTCTATAGTCATCAACTCTCCCTCTTGGCCGACCTTTCTGGCCAAAGCAAAATCGACAAGTTTGATGTCCAAGTGTCTGCGACTGACCATGACAATGCTGCTGGGTTGGAGGTTAAGATGGACAATGCCCTGATGTTGTAAATACTCAACACCATCCAGGACTTGTCGCATCACCTTTGCAACCATATCCTCAGTGTATTTTGTTTTGAAGGACAGATGCTGAATGACATTTAGTCCGTAAAGGAACTCAAGCATCATATAAAGACTGTCCTTGTAAAGATGGCATCCATAAAGGGAGACTACTCTTTCATGACAGAGAGTCTTTAAAATTTCATATTCATGTTTGGCTGTCTCCATATCGTCAGACTGAACATGGACAATCTTTCCAAGGTACAGAACATTGGTATCGGACTTTCTACAGCATACGAGGTCAGAGAAACCACCACTGAAATAGTAATTACATGAATTAAGACTTAATTTTGTGATAAATTAAAACAGGCACATAAAATGCATCTTGAAGTAAAAAGGAAAAAAGTGTGAAATTTCTTTTCAAATAAGTGTCAACATTAGGACATGGAAAAACACAGAAATCAAACTCGAGTTTTTAGCATGATAATCAATGGTTCAACCACCAGAGCCAACAAACCATATCCTCAACCAGCAGAGTAATTGTAAATGTCAAATCCAAACTGATAAATACCACAACACCTGGATTTTAATGTGTGCCAACAGAACGGGGAAAAACACATTCCCGACAGGAAGTTATCAACTCTTGTCTAAGTGACAATTCATATTATGTATACTTTTTCATCTTTTTTAATAAAAGACAAAAATTCATAGCAAACAATTGAATTCCAACCAGCTTTTCATTATTGTTTTGTGCATTATACATTTAGCCATTATGATACTTATGCCAATAAACTGATGGTGTTATCTTGTCACAGATGATGTGACCGATTCCATCCAGAATATTTTCAAGGAATTACATTGTAAATATCTAAATGGAGAGAGTTCAGGTTGCCTGACTAGCCTCAACTAGCATGAATTTCCCTTCAGTCAAGGAGTAGAGTGATCAGTTTGAAACTACACAGTCACTTATATGAATCCCAGCGGTGGTAGGTTTTTTTAATTACTCCTTCCTATTACAAATTTGGTGCCATTGACTTCTCCACAGGAAGAAGTATTGGAGATTGAGAGGTTTTCCTGGAACAAAAGAACCTGGGTTCTGGGTGTTTCAGAGGCAGATTTTAAAGGAAAAAGTAAGTAAATGGAGAGAGTACAGGTCACCTTACTAACATCAGCTAGTGGAAATTTCCCTTTATTAATGAGGAAGAGTGTCCAGCTAGAGACCAAACGATCACTAGTTCCAACCCAAGCAGGCTGTTTTTTTTCCTATTGAAAATGTCATATAGTAATAACAAATACTAGTCCATCAACACCATATGACTATCATATCATACCTATACAGAGTGTTTAAGAAGCTATAGGTATCTTCAGGGGAGCCCTCCATCAGTGAAAGTTCCGTGGAGTTGACCTCTGACCCCTTCCTGCTTGAGGTTGGGGAGGGGCGTGTCTCCACTTCCTTTTGTCTAGCAAGGATGGCAGCCATATATTTGTCAACTGTGATCTTGGCATCTGTAGTAAAAAGATATACATGTAATTTCAATTTCTAAAGCACACCTTTATTGGGATAGGGTGTCTGCCAGAAAAGCAAAAGGTTGCTATGAAGTCGAAGCTTTTGCAGAAAAATTTTCATTACTCATTCTTATTACTTGTGTCATAGGAGAGTGAGAAACTTTGTTAAAACAAAAGTACCTGCATAGACAGTATTAATTTGAAATACGTTGTGCACAAGGCAGTAGTATAAATGAAAGTAGTTCATTGTCAAAATCGTTGTAAAATTGAGCTTCCTGTATATGTTAACTTTAACAAAATAAAATTTTCTAATTACCTGGGTCAGATCTTGTCTTGACCTCTGTTGAAGCTACACTGTAGGGACTAATGCCAAATTTGTTTACACATGCCACACGGAACCTGTAGCTCCGACCCTGAAGTAGACCGGCTACTAGGCAACACTCATCAATGACGTTGGCTCCAACAGTCCATGTTTCGTCTCCTGTTTCACAAAATGAGGAAATTGGCATACTTTCAGCAGAAGTTTTCCCACATAATGAAAAAATTTAAACATTAAATGAAACAAGTTTCTGTCAGTGAGATCTCTTCTTGTATTGATGTTTATTGAAATTGAGATATTTTTTTATCAAATACACTCTTCTTTTAAAATGTTGTATTCAACACTTTGACAAAATCATCATCTACAATGTTCCAAGTTTAAAAGAAATCTGACATGTTCTGTAATGTCCGTAATGTCAAGTATAAAATGTTTTTACCAGATTTCCTATAGTCTATCCTGTAGCCAGTGACGTGAGTATTAGAATCAGCCATGGGGGGCTCCCAAACCAGTAAGGCCTCCGAGCTAGAAACCTGGGCCACAACTGGTCGTCCAGGCGCCTCTGTCACACCTGTAACAGAACAAAATTTCTTAACACTGAAACATTTCAACAAGAAAATATCTATCTGAACTTGGAAAAAAAAGTTGTGCTTCAATTTTTTACCTACTGTAAGTTACTCACCTCCAACTAAGACTCTTGCCCAGCTAGTAGACTTTCCTGTCTGGTTCCTCGCCACACACTTGTACACACCCTCATCAAACGGCTTGGACAGTTCAATTGTTAAGGTTGCTGTGCCGTCTTCTGAGAGGGAAGTCCGAAGGCGATTACCTTCAGATACCTGTTCTTCATTACGGAACCAGTTGACAGAAGGTGTAGCCTCACTCTGGATTTGACAGGTCAAGGTCACAGTCTCACCTGGCATGAAGGCATGGTCTCGGAGCTTTGTCACAAACAATGGCAACTTTGCTGAAAATTCAGAAAAAGAAATCAGATTGTTACAAAATGTATTTCAGGATGATGTTCCGTTATGAAAAAAACGAGAAATAATGACATGTTCATTAAATCTTACTTTCAACTCAATATTGATAGAATAAGGCCTAAATATGAAGGGAAGAAAGATTTACATGGAAGCCTTTGAATATCGTGTATATGTCCGTGTATCCTGCAAAGGCAAGCATCTTTTGCTTTTACCATAGAAACCAGCCATGTAATCTGGGTCTATCCAAACCAGTACATGTAAATGCACCATTCTCAAATAGAAGCAAACTTTACAACAAGGCAACCACCAGGAATACTTATAAGCATTTAACATATCTAACTTAATATCATATAATATTATATTAATATAATCACAATCAAAGATAGTCCTATTTTAAAGATTTCTATAGTGCCCTGGGCACTTAATGGGTTAAATATAGTAATTTATTTACCAGGATCAATCTGTTCCTTGTCGAAGAGTTCCTCGGGTGTTTGTTGTTGCTGTTTGAATTCCTCTGCTACAAGAGCCCACTCTAGTTCTTTTTGTAGACAAGGGTTGCTGCTAGAAACATATTCTTGCTCAACATCCTTCACTGACCTCCGTTCCTTCATCGTTCCATCTGACGATCCCTCCTCAGAATAGTCACTCTCTCCAGCAGCCTCCTTGTACTCACGTACGCGAGCCGTGTAGTCAGGCTCAGCTAGAGGCACAAGTAAGGTGTTGCCCCCTTGATGGTAGCGGACTTGCCAATCCGCCCAAGACTCTTGGTCGAGGAATTTACCATAGGGTTGCGAGTCTGGGTAGATCATTTCGCCAGAGTTCTTGTCCTTCATAGGGTATAAACCTGTATCCTCTTCCTCAAGGTCATCATTGATGATGGCCTTTAGGCTCTGGACACGAGCACATGTCTGAAGGGCGCTCAAAAGCCTCTGTAACAATGGAGATCTACAGGTTATATGGCTGTATATCACCAACAGAAAATCCCACGGCAATCTTTATGCACATTAACAGTGTAGACTATTGCATCTACTGTGCACAAAGACATTTTTGCTGTAGTTTTAACTGTTGCCCATTTCACCCTCTTGCCAAACAGGACAAAAATGATACACTGATAGAAGTTAAAGGTTGAATTTGCAATAGGTTCTCCATATTGTACCAAGGGCAGATTTACAACTGGGCAAAACAGAAAAGTTTCACGAGGATAAGAAAATTCTTGGGCAAATATTGTCATATTGTCATACAAAGAACTTCAAATATATTCTTTAGAGATATCAATATCAATGATCTATATGTTTTTTAACAATTATGTAACTTTGAAAAAAACTTTAAGCAAGTAACTTTGTTCCTATAAAAGGAAAGTGATTAATGAATATGTAAAATCTGGCACATTAGTTCAAAATATAGCTACTCTGATGGGACAGAAATCATTGAAAGAACTTATCAATTGGCTGTCTGTTCACTAAAATGAGTCTTGCAGTAAAATGGTTGCAATTTTCATGGGGATTTGTTTAAACTATTATAAGGTGGAGGATAAATTAGCCATTTCAAGACTATTATGTAAAATATTTTCCAATTTCGATTTGCTTAAATCTTTTGGTAAACCCGTAAATATTTGAAACATCAAAAAAAAACTTGAGTTATGGGTGCATGACCATGTGGCATCTGACCTCTTTCTTGTTCTGTTTGTGGAATGTAGTTAGGTGCTCGATGTTCAGTCTCGGTCCTTGACCACGGTTTGTTGCATTCTTGATCCAGGCGTGGTCCATACACTCTTCCAGTGATAGACGCTCACTGATGAAATAGGGAATTTTTCAAAATTGTAAAAAAAAAATCCCCAGAAATTAACAAAATCATCACTCCTTTTTAATTGTGAAACAAATGTGATTGCGTCAGTGACAACTACTCTTTCACATTGTAACCATCATTTTTCCTCTTTATCATAAACAATTATGAACCATATGTCTTCTGTTAACTTCTATATCCATAAAACTTTAGAAGAAAACTTTTTTGTAATGCTCAGTTTCCATAAACCCAAAAAAAACACTTGCTTTTACATAAAGACTCCACAAATTTATTCATTCAATGATTAATCAAATATTCTGAAAGTCTCCAAGAATAAAACTGATTGATATCTTCTAATCACCTCGGTTCAAGAACCAACAGTTTGTTGATGAAATCTTTGGCCTCTTTGGATACCAGTTCAAATCCCTCATCGTCAAACTCCCAGTCGCAGGTCTCTACCCATGATAGAATATCTTTGTCTGTACGGTCCTGGAAGGCTGATATCCCAGACACACTAAAAACAAAGATGTAAAGTGTGAGGGCTACAAATGATAGTAAAATATCCATCTTATAAGAAAACAACATTGTTTACAGACAGGCGGGCAGGCGGACCACGGATGCAGAGCGTTTTGAATAGCCCACAATCTGATAATCGTGGGCTGAAAAAACAGAAAGATGACTTAGCATTTGATGGTAGTTCTATCGATGGAACTAGAACAACTGTGTGCAGCCTTATAACAAAGCAATGGACATTTTAATGTTTTGTTAAAAAGAAATTCCGTGGATGTTGATTCTGGAAAAAATGCAGATTTGAATTACACATGTTACTGTTTGAATTTTGTGATTATTTTGCTCTTAGTTTAATCCCAGTGAAATGAAACAGGGTGGACATTTACTGAAGTAGATCCACAGATAACTTTCATGCATATACGTGCCCATTTGTACAGCTACATGTAAAGTAGATAAATTTATAGGGTATAACATTGTTGTCAACCTTTCTGAACAAATATCTTATCATGACTAGGTAAAACAAGAGTGAAGAGGTCTGACCATTTGTATAATTTTGTATAAAGTTTAAGTGATAATGTTTCTAAAAGAAGTATGCATCTTTTCAAATAAATGCGAATATTAGAACACTAGCTAATGAATGATGTGCAATTTAATTGACATGATTCAGAAATTAAATTTTACTTTTACACTATAAATAAGTAATATGAATATGATAGCTGCAATATCACTGTATATTTGCTTGATTTAAGCCGATATTTCACAGCTTTCTTGGTTTGAGCTAGATCACAGGAATTCATCATTTTCATGCACGTCTATGAACTGAGGTCTAAGAATACCGGCATAACAGATATTTCATGAGATTTTCATTTACTGTAAAAATCTGCAGAGTATTTAATTCATTGACTGCTGATGTATGAAAATTAAATCCTGAAATATTACCAACAATACAGTATACACACACACATCACATCAATATCACAATGCACTAGCTACACTTAATAAACTTACAGGAGGTATGCAAGTGCACCCACACTCCAGAGGTCTGAGGCAGATGACAGAACTTCATTACAGACTTGTTCAGGGGAAGTGAACTCTGGGGTACCGTAGTTACAACGAACAGACTGATTAGGCAGAATGCGGCGAGACAGACCAAAGTCGATCAGTTTGATCTCATCTGAGTCAGCAGCACCCAGCAATATATTGGCAGGCTGAAACCGACAAAGATACAAATGTAAAGGTGTTGAAGTGAGGTAACTTTCAGAATAAACTGAAACTGGTATATCTGGACTAAATTAAAGGGACTTAAAACATCTGAAATAGAATTTTTTTTCTGATGATTTAAGTCTATACATAATACTCAAAATATTCTAATATTCTGAACTTACACAAGTATATATAATACCTACCTCTTCCATACAGTTATTTCTGGTGTATCTTTACTCATTTTCCCCGCAAGTACCTGTAGATTTTAGTTTTTTTATACGAATCTTATTTACTCAAATTAATTGATGAGTGTAACAATTATACCAACAATGGTTTACCTGTAAACACATACATAACTTTTTACCTGTAAACAAATAAATTACTGTTTACCTTTAAACACATAAACCATTGTTTACCTGTAAACACAAACATCACTGTTTACCTGTAAACATATAAACCACTGTTTACCTGTAAACAAATAAATCACTATTTACCTGTAAACATTAACACCACTGTTTACCTGTAAACACATAAACCACTGTTTACCTGTAAACACAAACATCACTGTTTACCTGTAAACATTAACACCACTGTTTACATGTAAACACGTAAACCATTGTTTACCTGTAAACATATAAACCACTGTTTACATGTAAACACAAACATCACTGTTTACCTGTAAACATTAACATCACTGTTTACCTGTAAACACATAAACCACTGTTTACCTGTAAACACATAAACCACTGTTTACGTGTAAACATTAAAACCATTGTTTACCTGTAAACATATAAACCACTGTTTATCTGTTAACATTTAAACCACTGTTTACGTGTAAACATTAAAACCATTGTTTACCTGTAAACATATAAACCACTGTTTACTTGTTAACATTTACACCACTGTTTACCTGTAAACATATAAACCACTGTTTACCTGTAAACATTTACACCACTGTAAACACATAAACCACTGTTTACCTGTAAACATTTACACCACTGTAAACACATAAACCACTGTTTACCTGTAAACATTTACACCACTGTAAACACATAAACCACTGTTTACCTGTAAACATTAACAGCACTGTTTACCTTGATATCCAAATGGTAGACCTGTTGATGGTGAAGATGCTTGATGACCTCTAGAAGCTGTCGGATGTAGAAGGCTGCATCACTCTCTGTCCAGTTTTCTAGTGACAGGACACGGTCAAGAAGTTCACCTCCGCTAGCACTAATATACAGTCAAGGTCAACTTTTACTTATTTTTGATCAGATTTAAAAATAAAAAACACCGAGTGCCCACAACTACAAACTCTTAACTCTCCAGACTATTCCTACACCATGAAGAGCATGACTCTATCGGATTCTAAGGTTCCTTACTATCAAATCAATGAGATACTATGTAGGATTAAAAACTGGAAATTTGATTACTAGGTAATCATACTTTTTATGCATAGTTAAAGTTATAGTATAATTGACCTTCTTATAGAATTGTACTTAAAATTTTTTAAAATCTTATAGGTACTTTTGTTTGCAAGATATTGTTTCCCTGTTTTAATTGATTCCTTAATTATCTTAAGCTAGATTTTGATTGGATACAGTTCTGTGATGATCACTAAGCTTCTGTTTGATTGGAAGGCATCAACCACATCAACCACATTTTTGTGAGAGGCAGTTCGGAGGTTGTAAAGTTCCTGTCTGAAGAAATGTTTCATCTCTGGATCAGCCACAGGGATAAACTTGGCTGCATACTGTTTCCCTGTTGACTTGTCAAGCACTCTTCTTACTACACCATGGCGTCCCCTAAATCAAACAATAAAAATACACTGGTCTTACAGATGATATTTTGAAAGGTATGTCATGCGTACATGCTGTGCATTACTGAAAATGTGGACGATATTAAAAAAGAAATTCAAAGATTAAGAAAATGGAGAAAGTTCTTTTATTGCAGAGGCAACAAATACTTCACATGACATAAAATAGTTACTTATTAGCAATAAGCACAAGAAATTCAATATATTCTCCATGTTATGTTTTTTGGGAGGAACAAGGGAAATAACTCTGAGATCATACCTGCCAAGCTCCTCCAGTATGTAATAGAAGTCCTCAACAGGAGCCTCACGATAATGTAGACCCTGGGAATGTGGCACTCGTTCTGTGGAAGGAAAGAAAATAAATGATGGCATTTCAATGTCAATTCTACATTATTATATCATATAATAACAGTAATCAATAATAAATAATAAAACAAATAAACTGCAAGGGTTTTATTTTATATCTTATGTCATTTCCATTGTATATATCAAAACTAATTATTGTTTGTAATTTATTATAAATAAATTGATACATCATTTTTGTTTAATTCTTTGTAAGTTTGAGAAGGAAGGAAGGTTTCCTTGATATATGACACTAAGAATTTTTTAAATATAATGAAATTACCAGGTATATAATGCACTTTTATGACAAACTTTTGACAATAAGCTATAATACTAATATTAAAGCTATGAAAGGTATTTGATGTCTTAAATACAACAGGGCCGGCTCTAATTATATATTTGTCAGTTTAGACAAGATTGTTGATTAAATTTTCAGTTGAACTGCTAGTTTAAACAGATACATGAGAATCTAGTGGAAGTTCTGCTTTGTAATCGTTACACAATACACAGGATTATACTAGACATATATATGAGGACTGGGAATTATTTCATACAGGTTAAACACAACAAGGACTTCAATTTAGACAGGTTTTGAGGACCGAAATTTCATTTCAGACAAGGTACACAGTACACAGGGTTAAGTCTACATAGGCATATGGCAGAGAACCTTGAAGAATATGAATATAAAATAGGTTGTGTATTATATGGACAGGAACAAGCGTCCTTAAACTAAATTCTGGTTTAAATACAAGTTGTATAATATACAGTGTTTAGTTTGATTAGGCACATGAGCAAACCTGACAATTTCTCCTTTATACAAAATACTATATTGTACATTGCATAAACATCTTAAATTGTACAGGTACATAATCTTTGTAACATCAATTCTTAAACAAAGACCCAAAACACTCTTTACAGTTCAATAACCTTGAATGCAGCTGCTGGCAAACTTATGACATATTGAGATGACAAAAACTGACATTACCAAGGTTAACTCTTTACATGACGTACTGTTAACAAATATCATAGCCATGTTGAAATCAAACTTCTATTGTGATCTCCATCAAAGAAGCTCTTGTAGAGCAAAGTCATGATGAAATCAAATTTCTGTTGTGATCTAGGTCAAAGAACCTCTTGTAGGGCAATGATGAAGTCTGGATGTTACAAACATTAAATAGAGCATAAAAGACAAAAGATGAGAATCAGATAGACAGAACAGTAAACTGACATGCAGATATATATAAAAGAGTTATAGGACTTGACTATTACCTTCACTAGACACCTCTGAAAAGGAAACAACATTACAACAGCATTAATATATCATTAATACTCAATGTGGGGGTCTGATCATAATTGAAGGGTGACTATCAATATTGGACAAAACTTGTACCTCATAAAATCTTGGCTGCTTTAGTAAAGACAACCATTCAAGCAAATTGTTGGAACACTGCTATAGCTATATTTGGAAACAAAAGTCAGGGAGTAATTAAAATTTGTGCTGTATGTATTAAGATAAAAACGCTATGTTATTCTTCGGACAGATTACTAAAACATTCCAAAAATATCTTTTGAAACGTTCAATAGAAGCATAAATAATTATAGGTTCTGGAGAACTACATAAATGGAAGGCTAAAAGTTTTGTGTAAAGTTGAAATATTTCGAGCCAGCTACCTGCTTAATAGCAGACTCTCAGCATTCACACAGGCACTACTTCCTTCTAAAATCCAAACTTAAATCTTTATAGAACATTCATATTTACCTTCCACTGTGATTTTGGCCGAGCTGACTGCTTTACCAGACACATTTTCCGCAACACACTGATATTGACCGCAGTCACTGCTCATGACATTTTCGATAGTAAGTGACCAGTAGTCTGGTGCTTCGTTGACAATCCTGACACGCGAGGATTCAGTCACGGGACGCCAGTCTTTCATGAACTTGACAGTCGGTGAGGGAATTCCATCAACACGACATTCCAATTTGCCACTTCCACGATGGTCAACCACTATGTTTCTCAGTGGCTCCAGGAATGTTGGAGCATCTACAGACATAGAAGTACTACATGATACATATCGGAGTAAAAATACACAGTTTTTACAGTAATAGTCAGTACCATATTACAACTTCTTCAGTAAATGAAGCATCATTTCACATGCAATGGGAAGTTTCGGATAGAACCAAATATCTAAACCTCAAAGCCAGTTAATTAGCACGTCTTCCCAGTTTACATATCAAATATTGTTATTAAATACATTGTTGTTCTAGAAATTAAATTTTTTTTTTTTTCAAATTCACTCAATAGGTTAGAGTTGATAGCGCTCTGACCACTCCTGGAATTTACTTTTGTTGACTTCTCGTAATCCATGAATTTTACAGTACTCCAAGGTTGCTATTTGTTCTTCCAGATTTAAATATTTCACCAACTGTGAACCCTATGTAAACACATTCCTTCTTACACATACCTGACATTTCCAGGTTGAATATCCTGACGCTCATTCCTTGGTCATTCTCTGCACGACATTTGTATTCTCCAACATCCTTCTCACTCATTCGTGAAAATTCCAATGTGGCGATGCCATTAGGAGTGATAAATGATTTGTATCTGTTTCCAAGCTTGAGTTTTCTCCCTTGGAAATACCATCTCAGTTTAGGTAAGGGAAAGCCTTTCACCTGTAAAGATACTGTGACTGGTCTGGCCTCTGCCCCGTAGAATGTGTCCTCTTGTAGCTTGAATTCAGGTTTGCAGGCTAAAACAGTTGTTATTTATACGGAATCATATATACATAGTAAGAGGTTGATTGGTTTTACTGTTGCCCAGTTGTAACGTATAATAAAGGTCATACTTCTGATCAATAGGCGCTCAGAAAACAAAAAACACAATTAAAGAGGCCCAGAAAACGATGACATGTTGTGTTCAAGTGAATGTTTAATTTTTTTTGCAAGCAAGACAGGAAACTTGGAAATACATTTTGTACAAACCTTTGGTGGGCACAGATTCCAACAGACTGTCAACTGAAGAAGCTCTAGACCTTGTCCAGGGGCTGTCCAAACTTCCTCGTGACCCAGATCTACTAAGTACAGCTGTACCAATGTAGTCATCTAGAAGGGAAACAGTGGTATGCTAAACCAATGATTTTTCTTGTCTCTTTCCGCTGATCTTTGTTTTATTGTAAAGCAAAATTTCTGAACTCCATAATACGAAATGTCAATTTTAACATCACCATTCATGTCAGGAGTTTCATTTCGTGAAAAAGAAGTTCTTTACATCTATTCATTTACTTGGAGTATGAAACAAAACTCTTAAAATCTGAAGATTTTTAATAAGACCCTCTGAACTTGAAGCACTTTAACACTTTATTTACCTCAATTATCACCAAAAGAAGAGGTCAGTACCTTTGTTCCTTATAATGGAGAGAGGCATAGTTGGTTCACTACAGCCAAACTCATTTTTGGCTTTGACTCGGAACATATAGTCCTGATCTTCTTGAAGGTCATATACATCAAACTCTGTCTCTTCAACATTGTCTATCAATTTCAGCCACAAGTTGCTCGGTGGCTTTTTCATCTCCACTAGGTATGTCATGTTGGAACCCTTCACATAGGATGGTACACGTCCAGGCAGCCAGGCCAAGGTCAAAAGGTTACCTGCCTGGTTCGTGATCATTGGACGAGATGATGGCATTCTTGGTGGCACTATATTAAAGGATAAAATCTTACATACCAATATCAATATTACCACCATCTGCTATTTATTCAAAATTTCATATTTTCCAAATTTGTCTCTTTTTTTTTCCTTCATTATGGGATGGATTTTTTTCAAAATAATTTGGATAAATCATCTAGAGATTTATTACTGACTGAACACACTGTAAATGTTATTTGTTAATTGGATAAATCATCCAAAAAAGTTTCATTTGTTTGATAATTAAGAATTAGAAAACGTAAACTTTACCTCCTGTAAGTACAGAGTCTAGATACACAGCCTGGGGAAGGTCATCTGGGTCATTACGGCGCTTGTCACGACTCGCAAGTCGAGATTTTTCTGAGGACAAACAAAATATTTTTTTTGTCAAAAAGAGCAATATGCACCTTAACAAACAGATGCTAATAAAAAATATACAAATATGAGATTTAGTATTACACAATGCAGAACTATTATAAAAATCTAGCCATGCAAAGCGATGAGAATTTTGTTACAAGCAGAAATAATCATATAAATTGAAACATTGTATACAGGAAGTAAATATATCAACGACCTAAAACATATTTGTTTGAAAAGCCTTTAAATATCTCAAAAATTACACATACAGATTATAGCCATGTCTTTATCCATGAATTAAAGCCCACAAACAAATGATTTCTCCATCATTCTGAGATTTAGCTTTTTAGTACATGTGACTCTCATTAGAAATCTTTATTTTCAGCCACAATCATGACACAAACATCTCATAGCTGTTTCTCAAGCCATTGGCTCAAACTGTACAGCAGAGTATCTATACAAATCAAAAAACATATTAGCTTGGTCTTTCCGACAACTGCTATATGCATCAAACAAGAAGATGTATACTATTTTCACAGATTTGAGCTGAGCACTTAATGTATCGGTTTTAAGCTAAAGGTCAGATGTAGTAATGTAATACCTTCATGCATGTCTATATAAGGCCACTTGTTTAATTGACAAACTTTTACATAAAGAGCACCTGTCTAAAAGGACCAATTATTTTGGTCCTGATGTCATACAATTCATCATGATTGAATTGAACCTTTACATAAAGACCACTTGTTTATAAAGCCCACTTATTTTGATCATTATGTCATATGATTCATTGTTATAGACTTGAACCTTATTATGACTACCTGTTCAAAAAGGTCACTTATTTTGGTTGTTATATCATACAATTCGTTGTAATTGACTTGAACGTTTACATAAAGAGCACCTGTTAATAAAGGCCTCTTATATTGATCCTGAAGTCATATATTTCATTGTAATTCAACCTTTATAGATAGACACCTCTTAATAACGGTCCCTTGTTTATATAAGAACACTCTTCTCTGATCCGTTTATTGGCCATTATAGACAGGTTTGAAGGCTTATACAGTATATCAAACACATTCTACATGCAGTGAAAACATGCTTCATCATCAAAATAAACACTTTACATAAAATGTTAATTGAAGGATGATACTGTAATTGAAGATTCAATCAAATGCATGCATCAGTGACAGCTATAGATACACAAAGTATTTCTGTCGGATTGAGGATATATACAATGTATTATCAGGAATAATAAAGTTAATTAAGGGCAGAAATTTTAATCTGTACCTCGTTTCATGTTCATAAATGATCAAAGGATCATTTATTGGTGATATGTTTCTTCACCGAAAACAGTAATTATAAAACATTTGGCATGATTTTTTTCTGTACTTTAGTGACAATTATTGTGGTCACAAATCAGCTAACCTCGCTAAAATGTCTATTTTTGAACAAGACAAATTTTTGTATATTTTTTTTTTCAGATGTAATCACCAAATGATCAGCCAGAGTCATTTGGAGGCAGGGTCTCCTTGTCGTAGCTGGTGGCTACCCCACTTAACAACATAAAAGAGGCTCATTGCATGCTGTCCATGCCAGTACAGACAGGTACGTTTCTCAGTTCCCCACGAAACACAAACTGGCACAGGTACGGAGCACTGAATTACATACCTCAGATCTTCATGTGAGGTTACGAAGGCCAATGCTCACAGCGAATGAGCCTTCGTGGCCCCCTTGTTTATGATAATTTTACAGGTATTAGGTTATGCTGGTCAGAGTTTTAATCAGGAATTAGTTGACAACTGGAGAGATACAATATATAGTTCTTAGGTGTTTGTTTGAATGGTCAAAAGGAATTTGACATCTGGGTACAGATATTGAGTTGCAAAAACAAATTTGACCTGGTACATAGGACATGGATCTATGTAACTCTTCATTAGAGAGCATTCAGCAAAACCAAGCCACCAAACATTATCACTCTGAGCACAAACAACAAAATGGTACCATAAGTATAATACCCTTGGGGAGATTAGAAGATGATTCCTGTTGCCACGGTGATGGTTTATCTGCGGGTTTGTAGGAGGCAGACCCATCTGGAGAGTATGTTGTTTGCTTTTTATCTTTTTTATCCATAGAGCCCTTCAGAATCTCCAAAAATTCCCTGGTGAAAGGAAGATCTAGAGTCCTTGGAGGGCTCGTTCTTGTCCACAAACCACGAGATAATGAATCGGCAGATAAAGGTGCATCGTCATGGCGTCGGCGTGAACGTAGTTCTGCTGCCTCCATTGACAAAGGAGACAGATCTGTTGTGTGTCGCCGTGAACGGAATTTAGCTGATACAGCAGATTCGTAAGAATCATCACCAAATGATGATCGATACTTATGTGATTTATACCTATTGCTATAAGGCTCATCATCATAGAAATCAGGGTTGTCCCGTTTACTGCGGGATGAATATCTAGGCCGGAAAGGTTCGTATTCCTCGTCAGATAGATCCTCGTCCAAAATGTACTTCTTTTTTGGCATACGTTTAGATCTTGGTCTTGGTTGATAGTCCTCTTCGTCTGAGAAATCGTCCTCAAATGAATACTTCTTTGGTCGCGCATATTTAGAATACCTGGTAAATGGTACATAATCCTCTTCCTCAGATGAGTAATTGGTTGATAAAGGTTTCTTTGCACGAGAAGAATATTTAGAGTACTTTGAGTTTGCTGAAAAATCTTCCTCATCAAAGGAATAGTCTCTAAGTCCTGTCGACTTTTTATTACGGGAAGAATATTTAGAGAATCGAGACTTGGATGGCATTTCCTCCTCTTCATCAGAAAACAAATTGTCATTTTGTGTTGCTGGTTTTGTTGGTCTCTTTTTCGGCCTACTGTACATATCTTCATCAATAGATGTTGACTTCAAAGACTGTCTGTCATAGGAGCTTTTCGATGACAAATATTTGGACGACGTTTGCCTTTTTTTCGGGGTATATGCATCATCGTCATCAGACAAATGATCTATACTTGAAGCCTCTTGCAGGCGTGATGCATATTTAGACAACCTTTGCCTTGGTCTAAAATCATTGATAGGAGACAATGGAGATGATGGATCAGATGGTCTTTGTTTTTTAACTGAAGGTTTTTTTCTTGGTTTGTAATTCTCCAAATCATCCTCATCCTCTATGGAATCCTGGATTTGAGCTGAAATGTCAAGCAACTCTAAACGATAAAAAGAAACTCTCAGTCATCTCAAAGTATGTTGCCTTGATACAATGTACCTCTTCTGTATTCATCCTATATTCTCACGTGAAAGGTAATATATCTATACATTAGGTTTCCAATAGCTTTCCAGTCTTTCATTGTGCTAGAAATGTGACCATGACTTGGAAAAAATTTCATATCAGGTGATATCTAAGTTGAGTAAAGGATATTTCAAATCTCAAAAATAATTAAATTTATTCACAAATTTTAAAAAAACCTTTGGAAAAAAGTCTATCTAAAATAATGAGTTAATTTTTATCCAATACTATACAATAAAATTAAACTTATTAAACTTCCATGTTTATGAAATGATAAATTGATCTGAATGATATTATTTCAAAAACTTTAGTCTTGATGTAAAGAAAATATTTTTTCTTATTTTTGAAGACAACAATTATAAATAGAACTAATTCAGATTCTTTTAAACAAATTTTCATCATAAATTTTAAAATAGAGAGCAAAAATCAAATAATTTTTATGTGCGGATGATGGTCAAGGTCAATTGACATTATAATCAAATATCTGGAAAAAAGTATTCTATAATGTTGATTATATTTAGTAAATATGCATACACTATGTAAATATTTTCTAAAATTTTAAGAAGTGATTTTTAATAATATAATACTGATGCATAGTGCTATTAATGTTAAAAGGATAATAAAGTATATTTTCACTAGAAATATATTTTTCTACAATGATCTGCTGTATAATATGATGAGATGTAATACCAGGATGCATAGAGTGAATGATGTGTTACATTATGTTAATAATTCCATGAACACTCTACTCACTACAAACCTAAAATGACATGCTGTCATTTATTAATTGAAAACATTGAAAAAAAAACATTGTTAAAGTTTAAACACTAATTCTATTACAAACCACAGATTGAACTTAATGAATATCAACACTTTTGGTAACATTATTTTATATTGTAAATGATCTTGTCTGACAAAAGCTTTTACTTTCAGGTTTAATGAAACATAGTAAATGGTCAGCAATTTACATGAGATGCTTCTTCTGATTACAATGAAGAAAAAATAGCTATTTGATGTCCTATCTTTTATAAATTGCATAAAAATAATTTCCTTTTTAAAATTTTTTTAAGTGTCATTGACACCAAAAATTTTCTCCGAGTATTTTCTTACGTGTCTGCACATATGTTTATGCTAACCTACCATGCAATTATAGAGCTGTCTTACCTTTGGTCCTGTCCAGCACTGCAGAAAGTGTTGGGTCACTGGTACCAAATTGTGTCTCGGCCCTAATACGGAATTGATAGTCCCTATTGGGCAGAATTCCTTCTACCATAAAGCTGGTATCCACAATACCGCTTGCAGTTCTTGCCCATCCCTGGACTGGAGGTTCTTTTACCTCTACTATATACGTAATCGGAGTTTTCTTTGCATATGCTGGAATTCTAGCTGGGAGCCAACTGAGCAGAGCTGATTCTCCATGATCTGTGATCCTTGGGGTTTCCATTGGTAGCTTTGGTGGAGCTGTAAAAACAGTGGTCAAAAATTCTCATAAAATTATTCTCAAATAAGAATATTTGGAATGACTTAAAAGTTTCCCGCCTCAAAATATTTATTGAAGTTGAAAATCTGTCTAATCAGTTTCTGTATCCTTCTTTCAAGTAATTATGAAAAACGACTTTCATTTATATACACTTTACAGAAAGTATATCTTGTGTTATCATTATAAAAAATGTACTGGTAAATGTAAACACAATTAAATGCATAGATCTTGATAAGATCTTTCAATGGCATCCATGTCATTTTTATTTCAGTTTTAGATAAACTTACAGAAGTAATTCTTTAAAAAAAACTGAAAATATCTTAAAAAGCTAAAATACAGTTACAATCTGGAAGAAAAGAATATTTATTAATCAAATCATTACACCAACACCTTGAACACACCATGCAGAAAACAGGTAACATCAAAAGAGAAGTTGAGAAAATAAGTTTTAAATATTCAAACCCAGTATATATTTTCAAAATTGATAGTTTAAAAAAATCAATGTTTAGAAATTAAAAAAAAAATCAAATCTAGTATATCTTTTTAATTGATTAGTTGAACATTGTAACAAATTAATAATGCTGACAAAAATAGAAAAATATCAAACATCCTTTATCTTTTTAAACAGATTAAAATAAATTGTAAGTAAATGATAGTGTAACAATAGGTAAGAAATATTCAAACCTGATGTTTTTTTAAGTGGTTAGTTGAACATCTATTATCTTCAATAGTATCATGTTAAAGAATTGTCTTGTTAGTTTTAAAATTTGAATTCGATTGTCAGAATACATAAACATTTTTACAAAAGGGCACGGCTAATTGATGTTGGTTATCAAAAGTTATTGCACATTTTCCAAAACATTTTACAATTATTTACTTTCTTGATTTCATTATCATTGTTTATTAAACAACTGATATTTCATTCAAACTTCAGTTTCATATAAGCAGCGAAATCTATCAAAAATACTTTGATTTTAAAAATACGAAGTATTATCATAATTTTCTGACATACTGAATTGAGAAACTTTCAACCTTAGTAAACTGAAAAAAAGTTTCAAAATCTACTTCATGATACAAATGTACTGATATTCTCATCTTTAATTTTTACAGAAATTAAAGAAAACAGGAAGTATTTCTGTGAAGGATTTTTAATATACATTGTATATAGTTGTGAAAAAAGGATCTAAGGAAAGAATTACTATTCATTTTAATAAATACTAAAAGAGTATGTGTTCTAAAATCATCCTACAATATATGGTTATTTTGTTATATATATATGTTTTCACACATATCAGTAATCTATATACTAAATTAATTGATTTCTACTCAATCTATAAAATAAATGTCATCTTGTTGAAATTTTGTGTAAAAATATTATTAAAATCATAAAAAATGTCTCATTTAAGATAAAAAATAAAGCTGTAAACGACACAAATGCATCAACTGTAATATATTTAATGAAAATTAATTATTATACTCTAAATAATTAAAACATGACAAGATAGCTGTTAATTTTTAACACTGTTTACAATAATTTTTCATTTCTTATTTGCTTATTTTCAGACTTGCTTTGAAAAAAACCCAATAAACTGTTTTTATTTCAGTATTTTTCTTGTCCTAAAATATCACACATCAGAATTTTTTTTTGGAGAATGAAAAAATCTAATATATCAAATACTTCTTGAAAATGAATATATCTATATGAATATATATGGTTTGCTTTGTGATTGAAACAGAAATATTTTTAATTAAATTAATTAAATATTTTGAAAGTAAATTAAAAATTAATACCTTTTCATTCATTTTGCTTATTTTCCAAAAAATTTAGACATCAATATTTTTCTAGGAAATGGAAGTTTATGATAGTTTGCTATATAATGTGTATGACAATATTACTGTTTCTATAAACAGATCTCGTCTTTAAATTTTGAAGTCATTTAAACATTATTTTTTTTCATTAATTTTAACCTAATTTTTTATATGTTTCACAGATATCAAATAACTTTTGATAATGGATATCTATGTAGACTTGCTCTGTCATGGAAATGTTGTTTGTATTTTCCAATAATGCAGTTGTTAATACTGGATGTCGTTACTGAATGAACAAACGTAAATTACATGAGTGTATTGGAGCCATTGTTTTATATAACAACAAATTAGACAACAATATCACAAGCAGAATCAGAGATAAAATGACAAAATCAAAACTGGAAATATTAAATATCAAAAATAAGATATTTGATGATTAATTATACAATGGCTAAACACACACAAGGGTTTCAAGTTCACACAAAAGTATGAAATTTGTACCTTCTTCGATTTTCATTGGAGCTTCGTCTGAAATAGTATACATAAAACATATAGACTAAAATCTACAAGCATTGCCACAAATACATTTGTGTTGTAGGTGAAGGACAAGAGAACAAAGGACAGGGCAGTGGAACAATGTGCAAAGGAAGACAAAGTTATAATGATGTAAAAAGGCTGTGACAATAGGCTGAAAATGTAACTGTGTTACACTTCTTTTTTGTGAGGGGGGGTGGAGGTGCGGGGAGTGTTTGACACCAAAGAAAAGGAGGTGGTGGGGGGCAGGTTGAGGTACAGGCAGATTTTTAAAGGAAAGTTTATCAGTAAGTGGAAGGGAGAAAGGGAGACATTAATTTGTAGACAATCGACAGGTACTTGTTATTTGATGATTAAAACTCTGAGATTTATATCTAAACATCAGAAATAAGATTTCTTTTCAAAATATACCTTTTAGAGCTTTATCTTATTGTTTTAATCACTGAATCACAAGTACCTGCGTGCAGACATTCTATCTACAGACAGAAATCAAAACAAATCATAATAGGCAACAATTTTTCAGGTTATTTTAAATATAGATACAGTAAATCAATATATCCTAATATGAATGATTTCTTTCTATATATAGCTATACAATATAATTTCTTGACTTAGAAACATTTGTACTGTATATGATTTTTACTTTGAGAATTTTTTTTGAGTACCTGGATGAAATTAACATTTTCTGAAACTTTCACAGACTTCCTATCATTTTGAAATGGAGCTTTATATGCTTTATTTTAACATCGATGAAATTTCTTTAAATCAAATCTGCTTGTGTAGAAGTTGATGATCACAATTATGTACAACTCAAGACTTAATTGACAATATTATCCATGGCAAAACTAATTTAAATGTGGTTATTACATTAAGAACTTCAAACTGAATGACAAAATAATAGACACCCACAGAAAGCTTTACAAAAGCCTGACCACATATATATTCAAAATATCACAAGTGCTTTATTTGTGCAGCTCATTCAAAATTAAAAACTGCCAGACATCTTATCATATTTTCAACAAGGTTTTAAGTGTAAGTATATCTTCATTACACTGAAAATACACTATCTATGTACAATATAATATTCAAAGAACAAAAAATTTTAAAAATGACTAACATTTGTGTTATATTTTGAGAAATAAGTTCAAAATGAAAAAAATTATGTGCTTATTTTTTTTCATTATAATTATCAAATTCAACTTTTTATGCGAGAAGCATTAGAAAACTAAACCAACATATCCTCCATAATTTAAACTTTAAATCTATGACTTGTTCCATAGTCTCATGGTAGGTTCAACATTTATGTAAAATGCGTGCTTGAAACACACAGAATAGAAATGACTACATCTGATATTAATCGCTATGTAGTAAGTAAGAAAATGCTTGAAATTCATACTTTTATATAGACAATACATTAATTTATAATTGAGAATATCGCAGGACTCTGTTGTATTTACCAGCAGTGGATATGACCCCAAATAAATTTTACTGAATCGTGATTGGCACAGATTAAGCGCAGCACACACAAAAGCCATTGACAGGCTTCTTAAAAGTGACCAACAATTTTCCTTCACACATGTACGTAAATATGAGAGCAGTACAAAGCAACTATTTGATGACGGCAGCAGCTATTACATTGTATATCATACTGACTGTGTGATTTAATTAGTAGAAGCATTTTACACAGACAAGTACCTGTTCGCCTCTGCAATCTAGAATGAGGGACTAAAAACAGAAATCACAATTTTACAATCTTGATTAAAATGAATGAACTTATTACTTCTGAAAAGATCCTGTCAGCATATATTATACATTGTTTGGAAAGTTAAGTTTTTTTCACTTTTAGAATGCTTCTTTTTTCATTGTCAACCTGTCGCCAAAACAAATTAACTTTTCTATAGTTCCAATAAGATCTAAAGATCCCATAATCATAATAAACTGCCTATAACAACTGCCTGTTACATTGTTGCATTGCAAAAAAACGTGAACATGTGCTTAAATGAACTTAATACAGGAACCTGTAATAAAATCAAAGCATATTACAAGAGTGTATTCTTCATTAAATAAAGCATGCCATATTTGGTTACAAGAATTATTTTTCCAGAAAATTTTTATCAATTTACCTGTGTCATTGTATGTATTTCTATATTCATCATCATAGTCATCATATTCCACATCATCATCATCAAGTTCTGTAAGTCAAAAACAAAAAGTTGTAAACAAAATTTATGAGACATTTTTGAAGAAATGATTGATTCTATCATTTGTTTAATCACTTCTAATATCCAAGAAAAGGAAAGATAGAAATTTCTTAGGCACTTTTTCCGGGTTAAAACTTACAATAAAAAGTCCTTCTGGCAATAAAACTGACATAGATATATTCTTACTATTATAATGATTATAAAGGCATCTATAAAAACATTCAATTTCAAACAAGCTGACAACATGATCAAAATTTTAAAAAGAAAATAGTCAAATTGTAAGCAAATTTAATGGCTGGAGTGAAAAACCTCTTACCAATCGGCCTGAAAAGTGAGATTGGGAGACTGGCCTCACTGAAACCATACTGGTTATGAGCTCGGACTCTGAACATATAATCCATACGTGGGTGAAGGTTGTTGAGAGTGAATGATGTTGAGGTGAGCCCTGACTTCAATTCCCGCCATTCATAGTTTGGTGGAGTGCGACATTCTATGACATATGTCAAGTTAGAAGAGCTCCTTATCTTCTCTGGAACTTTAGCTGGTTTCCATGACAATGATACAGTGTCTTGACTTATCTCTCGAAGCTCTGGTTTGTCAATGGGTAGTCTAGGTGGAACTAAAAGTATCACATAATTAGAGACATGTAATGGTCTTTTTAACTGTATTGTACATGTACTACAATAATATTCTACATCAGTTTTTTTTATCAAGACTTGAATATTTAGAGTATTATTTCTATCTACATAAAATATTCTGACAATTTCATATTTGACGAGTATAATTTTGGTGGGATCTTTAATATGATTAATATATTTACTCAATTAAATCTAAACAGATTTATTAGAAAATTTGGGATGAGACAGGCATTTGTATGCATATGCACCAGTATAAACTGACAAGGCCATATAAAACAAGAGACCCAAAGGGCCTTAATAGTCATGCGAGTTACAATGCTGTCGTAATTGTTCTTGTAACATGTAAAAGAGATATTCTTATAAACATAATGCAAATGTAAACTACAGCTGTAAATATAAAATTTGATCCCAGTTGTTAACGATTCTAACAATATTTAAATCAAAACCAATTTTTTCAAAAACATATCCTATACAAAATATGGTAAAAGTGACGGGGGGTCATGAAATACTTTTTTACTTTGGTGGAGATCCTTATGACCCTTCCATCCATGAAGAGCATCTGTTTCTACCATATCTGGGTGTCAAGAAGAAGATGTTGAAATTTCAGTCAATTTGACCCCCTTATGACCCTTCATATTTTGTCATTGAAGGTGACTGTAAAATGTCAATGAAACTGGTTCAGGGATTTCCAGAAGTGGGAAAAGCTAAAAGTTTACAACATATGACAAATTAAGACAAAAAGAGATCACAATATCTCACCATGAGACTTTGTCTCACTTGACTGAAAAAAAATCATAGCATAAATTTTTTTTTCTTCTTTGCTGAAATTCTCACAGCATATCCACATATAAACTTCTTTCCGAATTTCAACACAAAACAATACTACAGCAGCGATTCCATGACATCCTGTGATGAAATGTATTTAACGTACAACTTCCCTATGTCAGGGTTTTCCATAATTTTGTTAGTAGTAGGCTGTGTAGTGAAAGAAGGAGGCTGGCCTACCGTGTACATGTAGTCGTGTACGGAACATTATTACGGAACTGGATTGGTGTAGGCGGCCAAATGATCAAAGTAACCTGTCAAATTGGCCGGCAACCGGCTCTTATGGAAAACCCTGCTATGTGTTAAGGTACAAGGTATGAAATCTGCATCATCTTAGGACTGTATGTTGAATGTAATACAGATGACTTACTGTACGTGGTAAGGTGTTCAACGTAAGATCTGTTCGGTACGGAGAACTCCTCCTTAAGAACTGTAAGGTCAGCTTGTCGGCGTGGTTCATGCTCCTTATGTTCTACAATCACACATTAAACATTCGTAAGAGTAAGAACAACAGAGAAGGATCTAGACAGACATATTCATAAAGATCTTAACAGCAATCTTATTTCAGTGTCTTTTAATGGTGAGATATACTTTAAATATACTGTAAATATGCTCTATCTAACTTGGTGCAATAATTTTTATCACATTATCACTCTTTGGCAAATTAAGGCAATAATGAATCTACGTTAATTGATATATATATATAAGCAGTGTACAGAATCTGTAATAAGGATAATCATAATTTATCACAGTACTAAAAAGCACTAAAATACAATTACTACAAAAATATTTACGTTATCAGTAATTGTTGCTTCTAATAAGTGATTCTCAAACATAGTTATATATATATAGCATTGTTTAAGGTGAGTGAATCAGAATTACAGTGATCTGTCAGAATTTCATGAGACTATTGGCATTACAGTGATCTGTCAGAATTTCATGAGACTATTGGCATTACAGTGATCTGTCAGAATTTCATGAGACTATTGGCATTACAGTGATCTGTCAGAATTTCATGAGACTATTGGCATTACAGTGATCTGTCAGAATTTCATGAGACTATTGGCATTACAGTGATCTGTCAGAATTTCATGAGACTATTGGCATTACAGTGATCTGTCAGAATTTCATGAGACTATTGGCATTACAGTGATCTGTCAGAATTTCATGAGACTATTGGCATTACAGTGATCTGTCAGAATTTCATGAGACTATTGGCATTAACTCTCGGCAGGCTAAAACAAGTGTATTAAATAATCTCTAAGTGAAAATTAACTTTTCCTGACATATTTCTGTTTATATGTATCCTCAGTGTAGGAACAACAACTGCAGAGTGAAAATGTAAATTAAATAATAAAACCACTGGAGGTACATTACACAAACAATTTATTGGCACTGTCTGCGAAAAAATATTTTGTCAGTGATTATCCACTATTTATCTGGCAACAAGACCTACATCTATATGTTATTGAGTAATTGTGCTAATTGATGCTATTTCCTTGTCCTGCAATATGCCAACCCCTTCTTCGAGTTTTTATATCTCAGCCCCCCCCCCCCTCCTCCGGCTTACTATAAGATATACAGTAAACAGGAAACAAAATAAGGATGCCTTAGAAACTAGTGGGATCACATATATATTGTATTAGTCAGCTGTAGATCGGCATAATAACTGCAAAATCTCTAAGAAATTACTACATATATAAGAAAAAAATTACCATGAGTTCTGTAGTATGGAATAGGTGGTGTGGGTTCACTGAGGTCACCATCTGGAGTTTCTGCCCGGATTCTAAACATGTAGTCCTTATCAGGGGACATGTCCTTGACCTCATATTCCTCCATCCTGATACCCCGGGCCAGGGGGCGCCACCGTCTGTGGGGCAGGTCTTGGACCTCTACCTGGTAGCTGATTGGACGATCAGGTTGGTCATAGGGAGGTAGGTAAACACGGTTCCAGCGAAGATGGGCTGAACTTGGGGTCAGCGACGAAAGTTCTGGTCTTGCAATGGGTACTCCAGCACGAACTAATAATTACGAATAAACTAAATAAATCAAAGCTGCTCATATTTATATATAAATTATTTGTATTTTATATGTGAACATGTATAAGTCAGCTTGATCACATTCCTGCAAGAAATTTGGGCCAGAAATACCAACCGTCTAATGATAGATGTAGATACATTATTTATGTATTTTGATGAGGAACTTCTTGAATACATTGTATATCTATTTAAAATCAATTGAATTACAAAATAATTCTGAAATGTAATTATTCACAGATTTAGAAAGTAAGAAAAAGAAGATTTAACAAATGATGAATGGAAATAACGTTTACAACTGCTCCAACAGAAAGGATCAAAGTTGCAAGTTTTAGCTCAATATGAATTAAAAGATTCCTGTTAACTTACATATTTTAGCACTTTTCACACATGATACAATTCTGTGCTAAAATATGATTGCAGAAAATGCAGTTTCTATTAACTGATTAAAAAGCAATTGATGAGGATGCATAATTCATGATTGCACTGATTTGTCAAGATACTGATAACAAACACACTGAAATTTGATTGCTCCGAAGTGTATATATGATTACAGTATGTCCATCTAGGATAATTAAGCTGTAATGTAGTTATTTCTCACTTCAAAAGAAAGTAGTAATATTTCATTAATATTCTGAAACCATCAACCAAGCAAAGAGCTGATTAACTGCCTTAAAAAAAAGTTCAAGCATTATGATGAATGAATACAAATGAAAAGAAATGTAAAAGGGTTTAGCTCTTTTTTATTTTAGAACTCTTTTCATCCTGGATTAGCTATTATCTCCCCTTACTTGGACCCTATAATGTTTTCAAATCATGATCATCCCTATGGTGGTGTACTCATACACATATGTATACATACAACAGCACCATCTGGAACACTAGTCAGTTATCTACATATGCTACTGCTGTGTACCTGTAGGTGACTATAAATTAATATATCTTCTGCTGTTGTAGAGCCTCTTACTACCCCACCACCATACTGTGTTGGCTTTACCCCCTCCTTGATATCCTCCCTCACAGTACTAGATCATAGAGCCTCCCAACTGGGCTGGCATATGTGCCAGCATGTCATATAACCCCTGAAGGACCCACAGGGTCATTATGATACTTTCATATGGCCAGCTGGTCAAGCATGTCAAGGGCATTCAAGGTCATACAAGGTCACTGCAGCTGTAGTGCCTCAAAGAATAGTTACTGTGACTACATAATAAGCAGTTTGGGACTGACAGACATGCATTGGTAACAGGAGTGAAAAATAATCCAATTCCATGTGTACAATATACTTTCTTATCACATTCACTAATTTTCTTCCCAAAAGATGCAACAACATCCATCTTAAACCAGTGAAAAGCCCTGAAATCTCTTTGCATAATCCATCATTTATGTAAATATATGATGTATATAAACTGGATGCTTTCTCAGCTTTAAAGTACATTTGTGTACTTTCAGATGTAAACAAAATCAACATACTTAACACATCTCAAAGTCTGTTATTACACTGCTGACCCAGGATGTTAGAATGTTTTTCTTCCCAAACATATACACACAGAAGCCAAAAACATGACTGCCTCAGACATAGATACATGTAAATATATAACATACCCAGATAATGAGTATGAAATCACATGTAGAAGGTATTTTGGGGCCATTAATGGGCCCCATTCCCAATTAGAATTATTTCATATTTACATATGATATTCAATATTTGGAATTTACTCCTGAAAATTCACCAATTTTCTTCCCAAATCAGTGAAAATCCCTGAAATTTCTTTTTGCATGTAATTCATAAATAAATCTAAATCATATTTCATAAAAACATTTTCCCCAACTCTTTGAAAATTAATTCTCATTGCACTGAATGGAAGTGAAGATGAAGTATTTTTTTTTATCTTTAAAAACTGAGGATCAATAATGCAGAGAAATTTACAAACAGAAGAACCTAAACAAATGACCACATCTCTCCTGTAATAAGTCTAGGGGGCCAAGACACTGGTAAATCTTACACAAATCAAATCAGGTGGAGGACTTATTGAATGAAAAACGCTTATAATTGTAAACAGTGATAGAACAATAATAAAGAGGAACAGAAAATTAATTGATTTCAGAAAAGAAACCAAATTGATTTCAGAAAAGAAACCAAATTAATGTAAAACTTGCAAAGACAAATATTTTAGAACATTTCTTCAGGTTAATTATACCAATAGATTAAAATTTCATATAATTAAACTTTTTATAATAGTCAGTAAAATTCAGGAATGATAAAAAGTGATTTGAAATTGTTAAGGGATAAGTTATAACCAGCAGCCTAAAATCAGTAGATAATAGCAAAAAATACAATTATACTGATTTAAACCATTAAATTTCTGTTGTAAACTGACTGAGTTGATAATTTATGTTGTCAATAAAAGAAACAAACAGTTAGGTGTTAACAAGTGACCAATAATGCATATTTTATTACTACTACCGATTCCCGTCAATCTTTTGTCAAATTGGGGGTGGAGATCTTCATGATATGATGGTAAGTATCATAAAGTGAACACCTAATAGGGTACCATGTTTATCCTGAAAGAAGCCAAAGGTCAACGCATTGTCTCTGACCCCAAAGTAAGTAAGTGGGCTTATTTGGTTACAATTCAAATACACAATGATGAAAATGGGTTTGCTTATTTCCAGACATGGGCTTATTAATGAATAATTACAGGGCAAAAACTCGGCCATGGATAAACTCTCATACAAATTGAAGAGGGGTGGGCGGGCAATTGATGAGACATCTTGAAACATCTACAATTTATGATGTTGATAGGTTTATAATAGAGCTGAGTGTAGTACTGATAATGAAGCTGATTCCAGAGATATGTAAAAATGGCTTTAGAGCAACAAGGGAAGATAATCACAATCCAACACAATATCCACATGACAGAAATGTGTCAGATTTATCTTCTATCTCTTGGGTTGTATACACACATGCAGTGGTACACTAACACACATGGAAGGGACATATGTTCCTCATTTCTCCTCCTCCTTCAGCTTTACACATTGTTGCCTTAACACTTGGCACCAGTCACTCTAGACACAGGTCAAGGCCATACCGTCAGGTACCAATAACACAACTATATCACACATACTATGTCACCTCATAAAACACAGCTCAACGCTCCTATTCCACACCTTAATAGTGTGCCTGGAGTCATCATAGATAACTATATACTTAGAGGTAGTGATACAGAAAGTATTGAAGAGGCATATAGGGCTCTTGATCTGCCAGATTTGGGGCCGAATATCCCATTCCCAATGCAAAATAGTATCTTTTTTTCCCAATTTAGACCCCAAGATTTCCCAATTCTAAGGAAAACGCTGCTACTTTTCCCTGTTTTAAGGGCCCCGGGCCAGTCCCAAAATGGGGTGTGAGAGCCCTGGCATATAGCATGGAATATTTACTAATATATAATCCTTGTATATATTCTGTGCCCAAATTTGACAATAGCCTGTACAAGTGCTAGTATAATTTTTCTTTTAATTTATTTGAAATATCAAATGCATTTTTATTTTCAATCAAGATTGTTTGAAAAATGTTTGAAAAATAGAATTTTTAGTTAAGGCTAAATGTATATTGTGTATCAACCAAGTTATCGAAAAATGTCCAATGAATTTTCTTTGCCATAGCTACTTCAAGTTCTAACCCTGACTTGAGAGGGAAAACAAATTAAGGGAATTTCTTTTTTAAAGATTGAGCCATTGACAATTTATGTAGTGGAGTCTATAAACTTGAGTTAACTATCTAAAAGTTAAGTCATGAATGATGAATAAGACTTATTTTACTGTATCGAAAAGAAACAAGTGTTCAAATTGTTTTTCAAAGGATAATAGTCATTATGTATTCATTAATAAAAATCAAGCCAAACTTTTCATAATCAATGGTGTCCCATACTTTTTGTCAAAATTGATTATCTCCCTTGTTAACGTACCGATCACTGAAATTCTTCGTAATAGGAACTCAATATAAAATCAAAACAGGTACAGTTTTGTAACCTTTCCAAGATTTTCATTATATGGATATTCAAATGTAATTTCTTCACAGCACATTATATTGCTGGGTTTTTTAAAAACATACCGAATTTTTAATCGACAACATGTTCTGAATTTCGTAAAATTTTGACGGGGAAATTAAGAATTCTTTAAATTTTGAGAATAAGTATTCTGAGAACTTGACAATGGATTAGGTGGGTAGTCATTGACTTTCTTTTTACCTTGATTGCGGCCAAGATGAAAATAAATTGCAGAAAGATTAGTCTGAACCCTTCTGATTAGTGGGTAGGTAGAGCTCCTAGTGGACCCAAATCCCTCCTCCTACCCACTACCCCCAGAAAATATAAACAGACAAAAACGAGAAATTTAGACATTACAAAGTGCTATACCCCTTAAATTATCAATTCTACATCAAATTTACCAGTAAAATTTGAAGTATTTTGTATTTGAGTGATTTTCAACTAAAATTTCAGCTAAAATAACCAAACAGTTCTGTAAAAGCTCCAATATATGTCTATGTGATTGATCTAAATTATTTAATAGTTACCATAAAAATTATTATTATAATCTAGCCAAGCATATAAATAGCAGGTCTGTGTACCGCATGTAAATCACACCCCACGGGATGGCAGGTAGACAAATATGGATACGACCACGACATGAGCAAATTATTTTTAAATGTATCCTCTGCGAAAAAAAAATATGAACCGATGTTACAAAATACTGTACCGAAACTTCACGATGAATAAGTCCTCACGAATCACACACTAAACCTTCGATATCCATGTTTTCTCTCCGAAGTGAACAGACGACATATTCCCCGACCACGTGGTTTGGCTTTCCAGCATCACCCGCTTGCAGGAGGCTCACCACGGGGGATGTATCATGCGCACGAATATCTTACTTGTGTGAGAAAGAATATCAATTTCCCTTCGACATGGGAGCTGGTTAAATGTCTCATTGCTGTTTACATTAAATTAGTAATTACTTGAAGTCACTTGGATGACTCATGCAATTACGATTACTTTCTACACTTGAAAGCGTTACCTTGGGAAAATATTTAACTTAATAATTAGTTCTATTGCTATAATTGAAAAAAATAGATACAAAAATTTCGGGAAGTCCGTCTGAATTAATGACATTCATTCATTATAGTTATATCCCTGAATAGCTTTCCTTCTCCAGGGACACATATATCCAGAGACGTATATGTGTTATATACGTCTCTGATATATCATACATCGATCCCCGCTCCTCCCAATGTAATGGCTTCTCATGGCTTTTACCCATTCTCATATAATATACATATATTTCTTTTCATATTTAAACTCTTTCTTCTTTTAACATCAATGACATGACATCAAATTTCTACGAAGATTCCTGAAACGCAACGTCTGATATTTTCACTCTGTGCCATGTGTATGATTGCAACTGGGCTTACTACTGTCGATAGAAGAATAAATTTAACACGGATTTTTTTTATATATCAGTGCCTAAATTGTTGTTATTGCTTCTTTCACTTTTCTCGCAGGTTAAAGAGCGATATCCCCCACTTTTTAATTTTTTTTTCAAAGATTTTTCAGTATTTCAAAAGTGTTTACTTTTTCGTAAATCCCCTTTTGGAACCCCACATTTCCTCTTTACTGTCCACATCAATTAGCGAATTGTGTACGCCGATCCGACATTAATCCCACGCTCCAGGGTTACCCATCACCAACTAATCGTATCATATTTCCTTGACCCCTCCATCGCTAGGACCCCATGAACTCCACTGTAAACCCCCCTCCCCCTAACTCCAGCCCCAATCCCCATCCCCTTCAAAACTCCCAGAGTTCCAAATCCTCGTCCCGCTCAATAAATGCAAATAGATACATGTATATAATCGACTCTAATTTTCATTTATTCTATAGTCCACACCCATCCCACCGAATGGTGGCCTATTCCCTCTTCCTTTTACCAGGGACGTTTAATACGTATCTTTTATATACGTCCTTGCTTTAACTCAACCCTCCTAGTCTGACACATGTAAATCCCTCACTAGCCCCTGTTTTCCATCGCTAGGTCATGAACTCCCTGTAAACCCCCCTCCCCCTAACTCCAGCCCCAATCCCCATCCCCTTCAAAACTCCTTCCAATGCAAATAGAGAACCTATTCTATAGTCCACACCCCACACCCATCCCACCGAAGCCTATTCCCTCTTCCTTTTACCAGACACGTATCCCTTGCTTTAACTCAACCCTCCTAGTCTGACACATGTAAATCCCTCACTAGCCCCTGTTTTAGTCCCTATCCTTCCAATTGAGAACCTTTCGTTCCGAGAGACACCCCTCTACCCCCACTCGACCTCCCCACTCTATCACCTCAATGCAGACCCATGTGGCATGTACATTATTATCACTGTTATATATTACAGACAAAATTATCACTGCATGTGTGCGTCTATAAAAAGCATTCGTGCGTAACTTTGTTATGTAAATATTTCTTTATCAGTCGTGCTCATTATCATGATAATAAAATATTGTATATTAGGTACCTGATGCCAAACAGGCATTTTTGTTGCAAGTTGAAGAGTTTTGTGCTTGAGGTGTTGGGGGGGGGGAGGAATTCGTTTTTCGGCGATAGATACTTAAACATACTAAATTTATCCTTCATTTTGTTATCGAAATACACTATAGATCCATTGTGCGTTTAAAATATCATTCTTTTAACTTTGAATGTCTGTAGAAAATTGAATTTGTTCTTCTAGCAAACGACGACATTGGCGATTTGTGGTTCACAGACTTTCCCTGTAAACCGTTAAACAGCTACACATAATGTGGAAGCTGAGATCGTTTTCAAATCCACAAGGAACACATGGAAGTTGTTTTAATTAGATTAGTGTTACAGTATAATTACAAACTGACTCTTATGCACATATTTTGAATTTATTTTCTCTGTAGTTCAGAAAATGCTGTCTGGAACAACTCGTCTTAAAGGGAAATAACTCCTGTCGGTGCAATATAAGCAAGTTACTGTAAACGTGTTTATTTCCGCGGGAGGTAAATTTTGGTGATACAACTGGCAAACCACACTAGAACGTTATTTTCTCAATCATTTCAAATTTTTCATACATAATAGTTGTTTCCCTTGATCGCTAACGTTTCTTTGGCTGCCTACCACATCATGACATTGTCTTAGTGACAGGGATCGTGAGATTGTTTTATGGTAGATGTGCAATGTAGTAAAATGATGAGTATACGGCCTGTTTGGTTTTTTTTACATTAGTAACAGTCAATCTGTTTGGTCAAATTTAGTCTGTTTACCAGTTAGTGACAAAATAACCAAGTAACTAGCATGCATTGTTATAACTGTGATACAACAATTTACAGTAAACGTGTAACACATCAAAACACCAAGTTGGGCTTTAGTGCTTAGATTGCCATTTTCATTATTATGACGTCATAGCTTCAAGACATCCTATACATTTTATGATATATAAGATAGGCTGTATTACCATTGCGAAAGCCCGTGACATTATATATCAGACTGGTAAACTGCTCTTTGATTTACCATTTACCATGGATGTTTGGGGAAAACTACAGCGTAGCATGATATCAGGGGCGTAGCTTCCATAGAAAGAAAAATCCCGGGCTTACACATAAAAATTCCGTGTATAGAGTATGTCGGACAAAATTACAAAACTAAGGTTGAAAATAAATATCTTATTTGCTTGATAAATAAAAAAATATGAAATAGAAAATTGTTGAATAACTAGGCCTAGAGCATTGCTTTCCGAAACTTTATACAAGTCATACTATTCTTCTTCTTACTATCATTTCAACGTTTCCGATTATAATGTTGGTAAAGTGCAAATTTTCAAAATGAAGAAGGCTTCTAGATTACATACGTCGATCGACAAGTTTTCCAAACAAAAAGCCTTTTTATTTAGTCAGGGGTTGAAGCTTGTTGTTAAATAAATAAAAAAAAAACTGTCTCAGAAAACGATTCAAAACATCTTTGAAATCATGCAATTCATTTTCCGTCGGGGGGCTTCGCCAACCTAATCCCCCCACCAGGGCCCTGCCCTGGATCCACTGAGGGCCTAGGCGGCCCCAGACCCCTCGCCTGGGCTTACACATTTCTGCTGGGCCAGCTACGCCCCTGGATACATAAACCAGAAATTTCTCTATATTTGTGTCCCGTCATCTACATCTACCTGAATAAATTTCTTACTTTTAGATAGAGACAATGTATCCACACACTTTCTTTTTTTTCAAAAATATTAACAAGAGACTTAACGTATGTGTATGGGGGGTCTACTGAACATTTCCGTCTCCACTCCTCAGATTTGACGTGTAACAGTGCACGTGACCTGTCTCTGTTGATAAATATATCGGATTAGTTTATCCCGTTTGTCGGACGGCGTAATGGACTACGTCAGCAATCTACCACGTATGTACCGTAGCTAGTTCCACCTGTCACATCGACCTGGATCTAAGCCAGGCTTAAAAGCTACTGCATCATATAATCAATATGTATTCATCCATATGTATCGATAATTTCTATAACGATAATTAATATCAAAACATAGTCCTTTTTTCTACTTCTCAAATTTTTTTTTTAACTAAAAATGTTCAGTATTAATTCAAATAGGAGAAAATGGCAAAATAATGTATCTTCTCTCATTAATATCACCATATTTTATGTATTAATATCCCCACCTTCATGGTCCTGACTGTTAACACCCTATAAGAAAATGCAGACGGATGTGATTTATTAGTTGCTTTTCATGCTGTCATCGCCTTTATAAGAAACCGGATGTGGAAAAGTGATCATCGGAAGTTAAGAAATGTAGTTACAAATTCTTCATGGACGAACTGAATATGTACTTGTCAGAACTGTTGACGAGGATTCAGGATCTGATTACACTGCATGTATATCCACTATAACTGCATATAGACAACCTAAACACGAAATTTTATCAAAGGACCGTTAATGAAGCAATACTTACATGGCCATGAATTGTAACTCCGTGCATCCCAATATGGCTTTAGATATGCCAAATAGAATCGACAAATAGCCACCATTATGGATGGGTTTTTTTTTCGAAAACAAAAATCGGATGTTCAACCGATTCCGCTTCAATGGCGGCTCAGCTGTAGTAGTTTTAACAATGAAGACCTCATGAAATAGAAGGGCTCGAGATATGAAAATGGAGGGCAACAGAAAGTGTAACTGTTATCTCCATCAATTTGCGTGTAGTTCTAAAAGCTAACGAGTGAGGTGATGTTTGTTTATTGGCAGTTAGGACGAATGGGTACCATTTCGTTAGTTATTGTTAGCCGGAAGCTATGTTTTAACATCATCTAGCAGTTTTCATAGAAGTCAAGTACAGGAGTAGGTACCACGCCGTCCAAAAGAAAACCGTTATTCATCGACAAAGAGTAAGGTTTGGCACAAGGCCCTGAGAGTTTAACACATTGTGCTCTTTTAGTACTATCGTGATTCAAAGAGAAAAGTAGTAGATATTTAAACGACTTCAATCAAATCTTTTCAATCGGCAGTCTCCGTGTTGATACTTGGTATATATATATAACATAAATGTAAACCAGAATAGGTTAGATCTTACAGACAGAACTGAATCCGAGTCTCTGTGATAAAGAGGGCAAAGATTTACACCGGTACTGTTGAAAACGTACAAGAAGAATAAGAACAGGTGTTCCGGAATGGTAAGCGTCTTCTCCTTCATCGAATATATATATTAGAACAGGTAAAACTCATGTACATATATATGTTAAATTAGCTGTCCTCCCTCAAGTCATATTCCATTTCGAATACTAACCGTGAAGAT